CACCCTGTGTCAGTTGGCTCTCTTGGCACCTCTCCTGTGGCCGTTTGGTCTGGCTCCTGTCTCAGGCCTCTCTGGCCCTGCAGTAAGCGGTGAGGGAAGTTGTTTTCTAGTGAACGTGGCTGTTCTCACGTTGTGGCATCCAGATTTTCGGTCCTCGCACAGGCCCTGTATCCCCGCATCCTACCAGCGCTGTTGCATGCCTGACGGTGTTTCGAATGTTACAGTGGATTAAAATCAAATGTGTGAAATTGGAGCCCACTCTTGAGGCAGATGGAGATGTCTGGGGCCTTTGCGAACCGGGATTGTGAGCTTTTGTTTGATTTCGGTGGAATCCTGCTTAAAAGGACGGGTGAGGTTTGGAAGCCCAGTAGCCTGAGATCCCTGTTAGCATTTATGGAATGGTTGCTCGGTTCCTGGTGCTGTTCTGGGGACTGCCGCAGGACCAGAGATTGTTTATAGCAATGCCTTTTCCCAACCGAGTAAAAAGGTATAGAAAGGAAAAACAGTGACTAACACGTGGTAACGAGAATACTGTCAGTAGTACACACTGGGTGAGGTCTGTCACCAGGAGGAGAGACCCCAGTAGGGCGGGATAAATGCTTCAAGGTGGGGATAGTTTGAGGTGGGCCTTTATGATTGGATGAGATAGTGACAAACTCAGGTGGTAGTCATGGGGAGTCTTTGGAAGACACCAGGGTCCAGGATGGATGTGATTCCGGATAAAAGTCATGTTTGCCTAGAGGGGGAGATGACCATTCCAAACAGAAGAAACAAATTATAACTTAATATCTGACCCAAATCTCCTGCATTTATAACTCACTTGCTTGTGTACCCCAAGGGGATAATTCTTTTTTTTCCAATTACATTTTACATTTAATATTATTTTGTATTAGTTTCAGGTGTACAGCGTAGTGCCTAGAGTAGACAGTCATATACTTTACAAAGTTGTCCACCTGATATTTCAAGTACCCACCTGGCACCATACATAGTTATTACAGTATTATTGACTATATTCCCTATACTGTACTTTACTTTTTTTAACTATTTTTTTTATTGTGTAAAGTTTTACATATGTCTCCTTTTTCCCCAATTGACCCCCCCACCCAAGCCATTCCCACCCCAGGCAAGCCCCCACCGCCCCAGTGTCTGTGTCCATTGGTTATGCTAATATGCATGCATACAAGTCCTTTGGTTGCTCTCTAACCCCCCCTCCCCTGCCATTTGTCTCTAGATCGATCTATTCTTGTTCATCAAATTATGTTGATCATTATATCCCACATATGAGTGAGATCATGTGATATTTATCTTTCTCCGACTGGCTTATTTCGCTTAGCATAAAGCTCTCCAGTTCCATCCATGTTGTAGCAAATTGTAAAAGTTCCTTCTTTTTTATAGCAGCGTAGTATCCTATTGTGTAGATGTACCACAGGTTTTTAATCCACTCATCTGCTGATGGGCACTTAGGCTGTTTCCAAATCTCAGCTATTGTAAATTGTGCTGCTATGAACATAGGGGTGCATATATCCTTTCTGATTGGTGTTTCTGTTTTCTTAGGATATATTCCTAGAAGTGAGATTACTGGGTCAAATGGGAGTTCCATTTTTAACTTTTTGAGGAAACTCCATACTGTCTTCCACAGTGGCTGCACCAGTCTGCATTCCCACCAGCAGTGCACGAGGGTTCCTCTTTCACCACATCCTTGCCAGCACTTGTCATTTGTTGATTTGTTGATGATAGCCATTCCGACAGGTGTGAGATGGTATCTCATTGTTGTTTGATTTGCATCTCTCAGATGATTAGTGACTTTGAGCATGTTGTCATATGTCTCTCAGCATTCTGTATGTCCTCTTTCGAAGTGTCTATTTAGGTCCTTTGCCCAATTTTTGATTGGATCGTTTATCTTCCTTTTGTTAAATTGTATGAGTTCTCTGTAAATTTTGGGGATTAAACCCTTATTGGAAATATCATTGGCAAATATGTTCTCCCATGCAGTGGGCTTTCTTGTTGTTTTGTTGATGGTTTCTTTTGCTGTGCAGAAGCTTTTTATTTTGATGTAGTCCCATTTGTTTACTTTCTCCTTAGTCTCCATTGCCCTAGGACAGTGATGGCAAACCTTTTGAGCTCGGCGTGTCAGCATTTTGAAACACCCTAACTTAACTCTGGTGCCGTGTCACATATAGAAATTTTTTGATATTTACAACCATAGTAAAACAAAGATTTATATTTTTTATATTTATTTTATATATTTAAATGTCATTTTTTAAAATATATTTTATTGATTTTTTACAGAGAGGAAGGGAGAGAGATAGAGAGTTAGAAACATCGATGAGAGAGAAACATCGATCAGCTGCCTCCTGCACATCTCCCACTGGGGATGTGCCCGCAACCCAGGTACATGCCCTTGACTGGAATTGAACATGGGACCCTTCAGTCCGCAGGCCGACGCTCTATTCACTGAGCCAAACCGGTTTCGGCTTAAATGTCATTTAACAAGGAAAAATCAACAACAAAAAATGAGTTCGCGTGTCACCTCTGACACGCATGTCATAGGTTCACCATCACTGCCCTAGGAGCTGTGTCAGTAAAGATACGGGGACAATTCTTGAACTTGATCTATACTTCCGATTCATTGATCCTTTCACTTTCTGCCTATCTGTATCCCCTAATTAGGAATGCACGTCATAGTTTATCATCATGATCTTGTCCTTGAAAATAGATTATCTCTTGTCTCTCCCTGCCTTTTCTTTTTCTGGCAAAACCCACACTCTGGATGAACCCAATCTTTTTGCCCTTTTTGCACCTGCATCTATCTGGATTAACTTTGCTGGGAAAAGTCCTGGATAAATTGATGACATTGTAAAATGAAAATGGTCAACCACTTGAAGAGTCACTCAGTATAGGCATGAGATCCTTCTTATCCTTCTTATCCTCTGTTTCTGTGGTAAGCCTACTTTCTTTTTCCAATGACAATTCCCTAAACTTTGTGTATACTCTCTTCATCTCTTTCTCATTTTCAGGTGATGAGTTCTTTGTAAGTCAGGTCAGTTCTGCATCTAGTCTGTCAACTTTTTCCTCCTTCACTATCAGATCCTTGTCCAGATCATCCACATTTCTCACCTAAACCACTTCAGGCCTTGTACCCCTCCAATCACTTCTCTGTTCAGCAGCAAAAAGTGATACTTCCTGACTTAAAATTCTTCAATGAATTCCATTGCACTTAGAACTTAGAATAAAATCCAAATTCCTAACCACGGCCTACAAAAATTCTTGGTTTGGGTTGTATTCTTAAGGACATCTGTCACTCACCCCCTTCCTTTACTTGCTTTTCACATAGCTGGTTCCTTAATCATCAGGTTTCAGAGTATGTCACCACCTGAGACCTTACTAGAACAAACCTATTTGAAACATTCTTTGTAGTTTTCCACGACCTCTAACCCTAAATGTTCTATAACACAGCATGCTTCTTCCTTTGTTTCTCTTATCACAATCTGCAATTACTTGTTTATTTTATTTCTTCCATTAGACCTTAAGTACCTTGAGGGCAGGACCTATGTCTGTTTTGTTCACCACAGGCAGCAAGTACAATGCCAGGCATAGTGAGCACTTGTTATGTATTTGTTGAGGGAATGATTAAGGGAACCCTGTGCCAAGTCCAGAGCAAGAGAGAAAAGAGCTTGGCCGGGTCCAGGAACTGAAAGGAGTTGGTATGAGGAGTGGTGAGAAAAGAAGAAGGATCATAAAGGGCACCTTATACCAAGTTAAAGAGTTTGGACTTTCTATGACCGTGGGAAGCCTTTGAAGAGCTTATCTGGGAGAGTGACATGATCAGATTTAGTTTTAGGGAACATCACTCTGGCTGAAGGATGGGACATAGATTCAAGGGAGAAAGACTGAAGGACAAAGTTCTTAATCCCCATTAATTTTAGTTACCTCTGTAAAATGCATAATTATTGTGAAAGTTAAAGACACTTATAGATCATCCAGCACAGTATCTGGCAGGAATTATGTATTTAATAAAGATAACCATTTATATTATTAATAGAAAGTACTGGCATTGCTGACTGACTGATGTTGAAACTGAGAGAAAATAAATTAGAGATACCTGAAAATTCCCAGTCTGAGAAATGACATATAAATTAGGAACCTGAAGAAAAAAGGAGGTGGTTGGGAGAGCACTGTTGAGTTTTCGTGTGAATGCACAGAGTTTAGGTTTGGAAGGATACTGCCAAAGAAGATGTCAAGCAAGCAGAAGGGGAAGATGAGCTTTTTATTTTTTATGGTATTCACATACCATAAATTCATCCTTTCAATGTGTACAGTTCACTGGTTTTTACTATTTTCACAAAGTTCTGCAGCCATCACTACTATAATTTCAGAACATTTTCATCACACCCAAAAGAAACCTGGTACCCATTAGCAGTTACGCCCCATCCACCCCTTTTTCCAACTCCTGGCAATCACTAATCTACTCTCTGTCTCTACGAATTTGCCTATTCTGGACATCCTATATAATAAAAGGGTAATGTGCAAATTGTCCCTTCCAACTGAGTTTTGACTAGGGGGCGGGGCCGGCCCGCCAACTGCCCAGGGCCCCTCTCCCCAGCCAACCCCGCCCCCGATTGGACCCCCACCCCAATTGGGGTCGGGGCTGGCCAGACCCCACTCGTGCATGAATTTGTGCACCAAGCCTGTAGTTTCATATAAATGGAATCATATAATATGAGGCCTTTTGTGTATGTTTATTTTAGCATAGCATAATGTTTTTAAGGTTCCTCTACATTGTAGCATGTGTCAGTACTTCATTCCTTTTTATGGTTGAGTAATATTCCACACATAGTATGGATATACCATATTTTATTTATCCATTCATCAGTTAATGGTCATTTGGGTTTTCACTTTTGGGCTATTATGACTAATGCTGCTATGAACATTCATATGCAAGTTTTTGTATGAGCATATGTTTTCAGTTCTCTTGGTCATAATATCTAAGAGAGGAATTTCTGGGTCATATGATAATTCCATATTTAGCTTTTTGAGGAAACTGGTGATTCTTCATCTGAAGTCCTAAGGAGTGGGTAAAATGTGATCAATTTAGGTTCATTCCTGGTAAAAATGTACCATCCTGATGAGTGATGTTGATAATGGGGGGTGGAGTATGCATGTGTGAGTGGAGGGGTAGGTGTGAAATCTTGATACCTTCCTTTGAATTTTGTTGTAAGCCTAAAACTAATCTAAGTAATAGTCCTAAACAAACAAATATGAAACTGCTTTGTTAAGAATCAACTTAAAATTTGAGTGTGAGATGTTACTTCCAGGATCACACATTGGTTAAAGCATTTAGTGAAATTA